ATATAAATATATATAGAAATAAATATATACATATATATATACCTTATTTTAACACATTTGGCTCTGTATTGTGTGCATATGTGATACTTGCCTGTCCATACTTGACAGCTCCATTACAAACACTGACTGTATTACGATGACCACTGCGTAGTAGGGTAATATCAGATACACGTGCTTCGTATGTTGTATTACATATAGCCATACATTCAAACAAACACTCATTCCATGTTTATGTACACAGGTAGAGTGTGACCACACTGTCTGACCCATACCTCGTCAAACGTAACGAACGTTCCTTGGTCATCTATGAACCCCTGAACAGCCCCTCTGCTCACAAGGTAATCCAGACGATCTCTGGCATCGGCCTGCATGTCGTTGATATTAATATACCCGGCACGGATGAGAAGACGTATACCACGACTTACGTAGCACAGACAAATTGAATAAAGCAAACTGTATGCGTGTTTAATAAAATAAGACTTATCCGTGTTTAATATGACAAGCCTTCAGCATGTTCCATCAGATGAGCTTTATCCGTGTTTAACTACCAATACCAAGACACTCTGAATGAAAGTGTGTGCCATGGTCCCCAGATAGTCTAAAGTGCGTTCGCTATTGTTGTGCTGTGTGTGACTGCAACGACCCAATACATCCACTCAAAATAAAATGATACTACGCACATGTCACAGTTTCATACTGATAGTATAAAGTGAGACAGTGGTGTATTATATACTTTAATACTACGCACATGTCACAGTTTCATACTGATATTATAAAGTAAGACAATTTTGTACTATGTACTTCAATACTACGCACATGTCACGGTTTCATACTGATAGTATAAAGTGAGACAGTGGTGTATTATATACTTTAATACTACGCACATGTCACAGTTTCATACTGATATTATAAAGTAAGACAGTGGTGTAGTATGTACTTTAATACCACGCACATGTCACAGTTTCATACTCATATGCTGATATTATAAGCTGTGACGTTAGCGTACGCTGTACTACACTACATAAGTACCTCCTTCTCCAGGTCAAGTGTCCGTTGCAGCTCTGAGCACTTCGTTATGCCTACCTCCTAAAGTATCAGACAACAGGAACAACAGAAGAGGCAGAGAGATCAGACGTGCATGTATGGATAGATATATACATACATACATACATACTGAACGAACGGATATTAGACCACTGGTTCGGTATAGTATAGCTATCGGGGCTTGGTAAACGTGTGTAATAAACGTTGATACAGACGACAAACGGCTTACAGTACACTGCGGAATGACTGTATAACCGGACGGGTCAGAACACGCATACTATACAGTCACCACACCTAAATAATGAGAGTACCACGACCTACCAACAAGTGGTATAAAGCAGCCACGCCTACTGTCTCCATACGTTCACACACAGACCAATCAACACCGCCGAAGCACTCAGGCATCACTACCAAACGCAAAGCGACGATCATTGCGCGTGCAAATGCCCTCCACCACCCATACGCATGCCCACGGCACTTTCCCGCAAGATAAGACAACAGACGTACATACACACCCAAAGAAAAGAATACTGTTGCAAACAACACAGAAGCAGCTCACTTCACACCCACTCACTCAGTGAGAAGTACTTCTAAACGCACCACCACGACTACTGCGCGTGTACATGCTCTCCATTACCCATACGTACGCCCACGGCACTTTCCTGCAAGATAAAAACAAAAGACATACATACACACTCAAATGTAAGATAAAACAAAAGACATACATACACACCCAAATGTAAGATAAAACAAAAGAAATACATCCACACCCAATTGCAAGATAAAACAAGACATACATACACACCCAATTGCAAGATAAAACACAACACATACATACACACCCAATTGCTAGATAAAACATAACACATACATACACACCCAAAGAAAGGAAAGCTGTTGCAAACATCACAACAGCAGCTTACTTCACACCCACCCACCCGCACACACACCCAAAGAAAGGAAAGCTGTTGCAAACAACACAACAGCAGCTTACTTCACACACACCCAAACCACACACACACACACCCAAAGAAAGGAGAGCTGTTGCAAACACCATAGCAGGAGTTCACTCCACACTCACCCCCACCGTGTGCAGCGCATTAGACTTTGTACCGAAATGTGAGTCACCATCCGCGAGAGCAGCTGGTGTTCTGTGGCTGTGATGTGGGCTGCATTGAATGAGGTGTCTCTGACCAGCGGCTCTGTGATGGGCGTGTGTGACGACAAGTGGTGTGATGTGAGCGTGCATGGACGTAAATGGGATACAGGAGACGATATGTATACGTTCGATTTGAACATGTGCTGGATGTTGGGAAGTATGTATACGTTTGATTGGAACGTTTATTGGATGTAGGAAACGGTATACACGTTCAATTTAAATGTGGGCTGGGTGTTGGAAACTATATGTACATCCAAGTTAAACGTTTACTGGACATTGGAAGCAAGCTCTATATACATTCAATTTAAACGTTGCCCGATGGTTCTGAGTCCGGCACGAACGTAGCTACGCACAAACGTGTACGATGGCAACATTTCATATGATATATGCTATATGTTATATGATACTACATGTTATATGTGATATGATACTACATGTTATATGTTTTATGATACTGCATGTTATATGTTATATGATACTATATAATATATGTTATATGGTACTACATGTTATATGTTATATGATACTACATGTTATATGTTATTTGATACTACATGATATATGTTATATGATACTACATGGTATATGTTATATGATACTATATGATATATGTGATATGATACTACATGTATA